GGTGGTGCATTTGCTTTTAATTATATGTATGCATTACTCTATAATTGTAATTAAGTATAAGCACCCTGGTTGCAGGCCGCGAGAGTCACCCAGAACCGGGCTATCAGTTGTTATCCTGTGGACTCTGCCACAGGAAGCCAGGTGACTCATTTTCTCCTCTAAAATGTTCTTTTCCTGCAACTGCAGAGCTTTCTCAGGGAACTTTCAACTGCAGGACATCTGACCTTCTTTATCTCAACTCTAATAAATCTAATTTCCCCTAAATGAGGTCTTTGGTCCACCAAAATGGGGTGAGTTCAGGATCTTTTTTCACAATCAGCCTCAGGAGAACAATCAATGAGGTTCTCAGAAAAGAATGCACATTGAGGAAATACCCTTTGAGTTGACCATGTCCATGAACTCCAGTTCTGTTTGTGGTTTCATATTTACTGAGCACCCAGAGTGGGTCAGGGGACTTTTAGGGAGAGAGCATGGGGAGTACTCGATGGGGGGTCATGACACTATGGATTGTGAAACTGCATTCATTGGGAGTATAACTGACCTTGGGCAAACATCCACTGGGGGGGTGAGAGGCCAGGCCATGCTATGCAGCCCACTTGGAAAAATTGTGAATGGCACAGGGGCAAGATGAAATCAAAGGTTCATGGACATAAAATAATCCCATGGTCCTTGCATAACCTTGGATGGAGCCCAGAAAAAAGGAATCAAAACCACATAGAGTTGACCTAGGAGCTTTAATGGGGGAGAATTAGTTGGCAAAATCTTGGTCTCTATCAAGAACGAGATGTTTTGAAAACCATTCTGAGCTATTTGTTTAAGCCAGAAGTGTCTGCATGGATCTCAGTCTTATTTCGTCCTAGCCTATTGCAGAGGTTTATGAGACATTTTGGGTGCTTAAATTGTTGACTTTTTCTGACCACCTGAAATGTGTAATGACAATAGCAGGGGAAGCTGGTTGGTTTCACATCTGGGACCTGATTTCTCCTACATCTAGTCCAAAGGCAGCCATTGGGCATGACCTGAGATTTCGTTCTGTGAGAATCCAACAGCTACTCCCCCGACAAACATCCCTGTAGAGAAGTTATAAGATGAATGGATAGAAGCCTTCTTATGGGGTCTGCTGTGAGCCACTGTCCCTCCTGCCCACTGAGCATGCAGAAGGGACAGCACAGAGAGCAGAGAAGGCAGCGCAAAGCTCCTTTCTAAAGGACCTTTCTTGCCTCCATCCTGCAGTGGATACAAGCAAAATCCCTTTTGAGAAAAGAGTAGATAGAGTCTGACATTGCCACAAACAGCTACAGAGCCAACCACCCTCTCCTCCCTGAAGCTTAGACATGTGGAAATAAGAAAACAAGCAATTATAATAGCAGAGGCATATGCAGCACTTACCTTGTGGCAGGTAGTGTTCTGAGGGTGCTGTGTACACCAATCTATGGCCTTTGTAACTCTCACAACAACCCTATGAGTTGTTATAATCACCATCTCTTGATAAGGGGACTAAGGAACACAGAGGCAAATAACTTGCTGGTATGGCTGCACAGCAGACAAATGGCAGAGCCAGGATTCAAACATAGTTTGGCTGGCCCTAGAATCAGTGTGTAACCTCTGGTCTAAACTTCCTCTCTGCTTTCATGAAGCAGAGCCCATTGGGATAGGTCCTGGCCCCTATCAGCTAATGCCATGATTCCTCTGTTGTGTAGAATTACCACATGTCTCAACTCAAGCAGTGTGCGGGTATTTGGAGAACAATGTTCTTTTTCAATTACATGTCTCTGATGATGCTCAGGAATATGGATAAAACTTTAATTTGAAATGGTATTTAGCACCTTCATTTTCTCCTCAAGACTCTGACACAATAAAAGTTTCAGAATACACAAAGCAAAACTGAAAGAATTAAGAGAGTAACACAAATTCGCAATAATAGTAGGACACTTTTTCTAACACTGTACTCTCAGTAATTGGCAAAACAAGAAGACAAAATGATAGGATAACCTGAAAAACTTGGAAAACTTAATCAACACCCTTGACTTAATATACTTTCACAGACACCTCATCTTACAATTTCAGAATACGTATTTTTTAAAGTGTACATGAAGCAGTCATCAAAAGAGGACATGTATTCAACCATGAGTATCAATAAATTTATAAAAATTGAGGTAATAAATATCTAACCACAAAATAAATTAGATAGAAAAGAGGAAATATTTCCAAATAGTTGACAATAAAACAGCACACTTCTAAATAACTTCTGTGAAAAATACAACTTACCAAAACTGACAATAAGATACAATAAGAAATTTGACTACCCTTATATCTATTAAAGGAACGAAAGTAATTAACAGAAAATCCAAAATTCCTTTAAAACAATCTTCATGTCTAGATAGATTCAGTGATAAATTCTATCAAACATTTAGGATAAAAAGATCAATCTTACACAAACTCTTTTAGAAAATAAATGAGGAAATATTACTTTCCAAATTTTTGAGCCCAATATAAATCTGATACCAAAACCAAAGATACTACAAGTAAAGGAAATCACAATGTCCTTTAAGAACAGATACATTTTTAGCAAAATAGAACAAAATGAATTCAGCAACATATAAGATTATCATTACTTTCAAGTAGGGCTTATCCAGAAACACAAGTTGGTTTAATATTTAAAAGCAATCAGTCTGATTCACCAGATTAACAGAATGAAAAAAACAAACAAACATACAAGTATCCCAATAGATGCAAGCAAAAGATTTGACAAAATTTGAGACTCCCTTATGATTTAGAAAATGGATTCTCATGAAACTAGAAGTACAAGGGGACTTCCTCAATATGATACTTAATGGAGAGATACGCCTATTGTCACCAGTTCTATTTAACATTGTTGAGAAGGTCCTATTTCATGCAATAAATCAATTAAAAGAAATTCTCAACAAAAATAATGAAAAGGGAAGAAAATATATAACAATCCATTTTACTCATAGTAGGTGGTACATAGATATTCAGAACCAGACAATCAGATACAACCCTTATGGGGACAATTTGACAATATCAATCTAAATTTAAAATGTACATGTTATTTACCTAGAAATTCCAATTCTAAGAATTCTTTCTAAAGATATACTTGGCACATGTATAAAATAATGTATGTAGAAGGGTACCATTACAGTCTTTTTATTTTCCTTTTCTTTTTAAACTAACAAACATTTGGAAGCAACCTAAATATTCATCAACATTTCTTGGCTAAAAAATATTATGAGATACTGTTTGACTGTAAAAAGAATAATAATAATAAGCATCTCAATATGTTCTGATATGAAACAATCTGTTTGATAGTTTTATAGCAAAAATAAAAATCCAGTTGCAAAAAGGGAATAGATTCTGGCTCATTCCTCACTGAACTTTGAACATGTAATTCAATTTCACCAAGGGGTCCCAAGGACTGCCAACATCAGGGCCCTCTGAGGTCCTTGCTAGAAACACGTATTCCCTACCCATGTCCCCTGCAGATATGTTGTGATGTATTGCAATTATTCGAGAACTGACAAATCCTATATAATAAAAGCCTAATATGCAAATTGTTCCCTTGACTGGGAGTTTGACCAGGAGATCCACCAGGGGGTGGGGCCAGCAGGTCAACCACTCTCAGCCCCTCCCCCCAGGCAACCTCTGTCCTGGCCCCTATCATGGCATGGGTGTCGTCTGGACCCTACCTGTGCACGAATTTTGTGCACTGGGCCTCTAGTAAATGAATAAAAGCACATTTGCCATTGTTCCCATGTTGTTCCTTCTTCCCACTGATTTAAAATGCTTCATTGTTCACATCAACCAAGAACGGTGCCCTCCTGTGCTTCACAGTGGACCACAAAGCAGGGCAAAGGCAGTGTGTGCCATTGGCTGAAGGGCAAGACGTACTTGCCTCAGTTCTATTTCTGGCTCTGAAGGTGGCATGGAAATGTGTGTCCCCAGGACATTCCTTTTCTGTGCTTTGATTTGTGCAGCTGCTCAATGGGTAAAGTGATACCCTATGGAGAAAGTATAGAACTTGCTGAGATATTTTCTTAGGACACTGGATTTAAAGTAACTGGCTAAGGATTTTCTAAGCTATTTTCATTATTCAGAAATGCCCTTTAAAGAAACAGGCGCTTAGTGAGTAATCTAACATTTTAATTTTATTTGGCTTTCTGTATCGCCTGAGGTTTTGTTGTGAGATATGAGTATTATCTCATTGTTTTGATAACTCACCATCTATTCATCCAAATAAACCAATATCTGTACACATTTACTACTCATGAATTTTAGGTAAGATACTTGCTTGGTTCTATGGGAATGCCAAAGTAAATGAGAAAGATATAGGTGAGTTTCACAAAAAACTCCTAGCTGGGGAGAAGACCATTTTGTAAATAAATGCAGTGTCTACCAGAGATGGTGAGAACTGTAAGGAAGGCATGGGCAGCCTTGTGTGTTGAAGTTAAGAGAGGATCCATAGCTCAGACAATGGCGGAGTCGGTGAGCTCAGCTTTGCAGGTAGATAAGGCTTCAAAAGAGGAGCTGGATTTGTAGCAAGAACAGCATTGCAAAAGCACTAAGTCAGGAAATCAAAAGTGTGTTCGAAATCTAGTGTAGAGAACCATTTAACAGGCAAGGAGGGCATACACAGGAGTGGGAGATAAGGCTAGAAAGATGGACAAGGCTTGAGAAGGAGAGTTTGGTGGCATGGTGAAAAGCAATGAAATCCAGGCCATGTGAAGCTGGGGAAAGCTTCTTACAGCAAATACTTCAAATGATTAAACTTGTATTTCTTCCCACACAATTTGTACCTTTAGGCCCCAAAGGGGAGGGAAGATACATCTCGAATAATCACTGTTACTTAGTTGGCATTCAGTAAGTATTTGCCAACTAAATTATTAGATAAATGGAAATAAAACATCAGAGAGAACTACTGCTTAGTGTCACATACATCAGGGAGTTCATCACCATGTGCCCCCAACACTGGACAAAGTCAGAACAATGGCAGAGTCAAGTTTAAAGGAAGAACTTCAAATAATACATGAAATATTCATATGCGGCTGCAGAAGAAGGGTCCATATCTGAGGAAATCGGCTGAGCATCCAGGACGTTTCTGGCCTGCTTCGCTGACATCTTTTAGAGTTTGACACAAACTGGCAGAGCCCAGAGGAACCCAGTTCTTGTTTGTTCTGTGTCCTGGTGGGAAAGAAGTAAATAAATGATTACTTAATACAGTGTTATTTTTTCTTAATATCTTTCACTTCACTAGTGTTTTTGACTTTCTAAAAGCTCTCTCATAATATTATTGCATTACTTTCACAACCCACTCTTTGTGTGAGGCAACAGAGAGGGATCATTTTCATTTGGTTTGACAGTGAAGAAACTGAGGCCTAGAAGGATTTCATGGCTTTTCTGAGAACCAGTTGCTAAATGGAGACAGTAAGATGCACCTCAGGCTTATTGATTCACTAGTCAAAAGTTTAAATGTTGTCTGTGCTGGGCACTTGCTGACCGCTGAATAAACCACACCTCCTACTTCAAGGTCTGCAGAGCCCAGAGGGAAGATTCCAGTTCATAAAACAGGAGAGCAAAGGTAATGTGTGCTGCCTTTCTCATTATAAAGCAGAAAAACACTGGCTATGTGTAACCAAAATAAAATATTTTTAGACACATAGCTGAGCTTAGTAGAAAAGAATAAAAATTCCCGCATGCTAGAAAGGAAAACTGCAGGCTAGAGATGTAGCTTGTGGTCAGATGCTTAGCTGGAAGAAGAGTGAGATCTGGATATGGGTCCTAGAAGCTGAGGAGGAGGACGGATGCCCCCCAGGACGGGGCATGGGTGGAGGACCGGTAGAGAGTAGGAGGTTGGATCCAGATGCTCTACAGAGAGCAGGAATCTGAAAGGGCTGTCCTTCCATAAAAGGAAATGAAACACAGAAGCAATTAGGAAACCGACTGTTCACCTGGGGCTCTGAGTGGAAAGCAAATGGAAAGTAATCTGTGAGGCATCAAAACATGACACCCATGCCATGCATAAGATGGACCCGAAGTTCAAGGGTATATTCCCACAGGGTGTGAGGTTCCCCAAGCAATGGGAGTCAGACTAGACCTGGTCAGGTGTCCTGCAGAAGCAAAAGCAAAGCCACTCTGCATGGAATTTTCCACTGTTCGGAGTGCCCACAGACAAATAAATCCTTGGAAGATAAACTTGGAAACAAGAATTATGAACCGCACCAGAAAGCTATAAATTGTGAGAAAGAAGTAAAAGACACAACAAATATGAAAATAGTAAGAACTTGAGATAAGCTGTCTGAAAGAACTAAAAATAAGCTTTTTAAAATATGTTAAAGAGGCAAAGAAATGATTAGAAACTCAAATGAAATAACAAATACTAAGTAGAAAAATGAAACAAGCAAGACAAAGCTAAATGAAAGAACTTCCAGAAATAAAATCCTTGTAACTGAGATAAACAAAATGCAATGGACCAGCAGATTGGACTTAACTGAAGAAAGAATGAATGCTTGGGAGACAGATGAGAAAACTGTTAGAGAAACCAAAGGTTAAGACATATAGAAGATTCATGGTACATCTAATAGGAGTTGCAAAAGTATTAAGAGAGAGAATGTGGGGAAGCCATCTCAAAGTCATAATACTGAGAACTTTCTATGCATGATACGTCTTCAGTTGGCATCGTGTACTGCCTTCCAGGGAGGGTGAGGAACAGAATTCACACCAAGCGTCATGGCAGTCCAGCCACACAACACTGCAGACCAGTGGGCACTTGGAGGAGACAAACATTTGGGGACCAGTTGCTGAGGAGGGTTCCCTGGCGCAGGCACATGACAAGAACGGGGCGGGGGTGTCAGAGCAGAGTTATGCAGTGGTTGCTCTGGAAACCTGCTGGGAGATGGGGGAGGCAAGTAGAGCAAGGTGATAGGGCAAAAAGGCAGGCGCTGATTGACAGACTCCGAGGAAGAGGAGGCGTCAGTGTGGCTGTGAGGGATGGAAATGGCCAGGGCAGGAGGGAGAGCTGCAGGGGAGGGACCCGCTCCGGGACAGCACTGTGTGTCCTTCCTTGCAGGCCCAGGACAGTCACTAAGGACAGGGAAAATGTGCATTTTGGAAGATACTCTGGCTTTGTGTAGAGAATGGACAGAAAGCGGGGAAAAAGGAAACTAGGCTTTAGCTAGAAGGTTGCTACCATGATCCAAGCATGAAGTGAATGCTGAGGGTCTGTCCGAATACAGCCAGACCCAGGGGCGTGAAGAAAGGAGACAGCCCTGTGAGGGCTGAAGGACAATCATGTGTCAGACGTGCTGCCTGTTGGGAGAAGGAAGAGTGACAGAGGTGACTTCCATGTGCTTGGCTAGGAATATGGATGGCTGGTCCCCTGACACCAGCCACACAGGCTTTCTGATCTTACTAGCCATGTGGGGTTTGTAATATATTCACTGTCTAGTCACTATTTACTATTTCACTATCTTCCTTATTGATACCAATGCCAAGCATCATTGATTCACAAGTATTCACCTTTACCAATCATCTTGAAAGGAAACTTACTTTCAATTTGGGACCAATGATGAAATATGATGCTCTTGGCAAGGTGATGTTACATAAATGAGTAGCAGAATGTTTACGCTGTGTATCCCCTATACCAGGAGGCCCCTTCATGAAGGAAGTAAACATTTATACATATGGGGAGGCCTGGATCATGTGAGCAAGTATTTGTGGTGAGGGGTTGTGAGACGATGATGTTTATAATCATAGCAATTTCCCAGCATCATAAAGGTGCTAATGGGATAGATAAGATGTGGCTGGAATCCCATAAACGGGGCTGTCTGACCCTGGGCTGGATCTGAACACCTACCCAGTCCTCCTGCTTGTGGCCTGGAATGGGAGGAAAGAATAGTTTTCTACTTGAGGGTGACTTGCGAGGTCAAAGGGAACAACGTTGCTGAATGTCTATTAAATGTGCTAGAGATTCCTCATGCATGATTCCCAGTGAGCCTGACTGCGGATGTAAATGCGAATGTTGTAACTGTGTTAAAGGCACGGGAAAGGGGACTCAGATGAGTACGTTGGCAAAGTCACAGCCCGTGGACTAGAAGAGATGCTTTTAAGGTAGCTGTGGCGTTCCTGCTGTCACCCCACCATGAGGCAAGCAAGGGCTCCCCCATTGGGTCTTCTGGAGGGCCCCTCACTTCTTCAAGAGGGGTCTCGCTCAGGACAGTGGCCAGGCCCTGCTCCTGCCCCTCCGTCCTCGTCCTCTAGTTGTGTGGTCTCCAAAAATCACTTAACTTCTTGCTGCCTTGGCCTCCCCATCTGTGAAATGGGGATCAAATTTCACTGCTGCATGTCTGTCTACCCACACAGCCTAGATGATTAATGATTAATTAGATCTCGGAAGGGCAATTGCACCCCAGGGCAGACTCATTTATTATGCAGCCAAGTCCATATTTCTTCCTCCTTTCATACACTGACAAATAGTTTTTTAAAAGTAAAATAAGCTAAGGGATAAATTTTCCAGAATTTTATTGCAAAACAGTTAAAAATTACAAACCAACTTAAGCTAAAAACCTTTAATTTAGTTAACAAAGTGAGATTACTATCTGAGAAAACCGATTTAGGTTTGGAGTTGGTATAATTTTCAAGGTTTCAACTGGATTTTTATTTATTCCCTAAATAAAATGGGTAATGCACAAAGTGACATTTCAAATGACCAGTTTCCAAACACCTTCAGGGCATTAAGGTTTAGTCTTTCTCTGCGGGGAGTCTGGAGAATAGCTTTAATAATTCGTAACCAACTCTCAGCTATAACTTTCCCAAACATTAGGATTGAATGAATTCTCCACGTTCGTTTTAGAAGTTAAAGCTACAAGTTGAGAACACAGTGTGTTATCAATCTTTGAAATCACCATTGACAAATACACAGAAGAGTTATCAGCTTGCATACTTAGTCATTGTTCTACTCGGGGTAGAGTAACTGGGGACTGCCTAAGGGTCCTTCAAAATCTCCAGGGACAAGTATTTATGTAAACATATTATTTTAATGGCAGGCACATGCGATTAGAATTCAGGGGGACTCTCATACTCTGGGCAGTTTTAGTCTGAGAACATATCTTTGCAAGTTTCTATACTGTCCTAGAGGGTGTTTTCATTCATTTCATCCTCTGGATGTGAGCATGCCTCTGAAGTGGGCTGGAATAGGCGATAGGAACGAGATTACACTGCAGTGCCCACGGGTAGGAAAACGGGGTGCAGGCTAGCTGAGGGGACAACCCGTCCCCGACAGGTGCTACCCCAGAAGAAAAGCCAGCGCTCTTCCAAGACATGACGAACGTTTGGATTTTTATGTGAAGCTTTAGTGTTTTTTAATATTGGTAATTAATTGCAGAATCATAATCCTTTTAAAAATGTTTTTATTGATATTGGAGAGGGAGAGAGAGAGAGAGAGAGAGAAAGGAGATAGAGAGAGAAACATTGATGAGACAGAAAAATTGATCGACTGCCCCTCACTGAGAATCAAGCCTGCATCCCTGGCATCAAGCCTGCATCCCTGGCATGTGCCCTGACCAGGAATTGAACGGGTGACCTCGGGGTGCAGGGAGGGCACAACAATCTTTCTTTAAACACTGGACGCTGTGTTGGGCCAAATGAAACTAGTTAGCGGTCTTTGCTTTAAAGATTCTCTCTGCCCCTGAACTCTCACTTTCATCAACGGTTTCCATCACAGGCAAACATCTGGCCTCTGTGTCCTGGGCAGAAATGTGACACAGGATCTGACAGTGTGCGATCTCAGTCGTAGTTCTATTTGGTGGCATAGCTACCTCATTTCTCAGGGATTGTAGTTGCTTTTAAGAGAAGAAGGTCTAACCTGAGTGTTGCTGGAAGGAACCAATTCAAAATACATGTACAATTAGGTGACCAGTTAAGCACTCTCCTCAGAAAATCCTTTACTCATTCATCCTCCCTTGCACAGAAGCCCAATATGCATTAGTTAAACTTTCTATTTGTTGGTTATGAGATCTTTTAATTTAAAAAAAAGTTTAGAGAACTTTTAGAAGCTGGATCCCTATATAATTCTGTGTTATCTTTTCCCTTCATGAGCAAAGCCCATGGAGAAGGCTGGAGAGGCCCAGGATACCCCCTCACAAATCGCCAGTCCAGAATTAGATGTAAGTCCTGTAAATGTCAGC